CCCCCCCCCCCCCCCCCCCCCCCCTTCCTCCTCCCTCCTCCCCTCTCCTCCTCCTTGTCTTCCTCCCACTTCCTCCCACCTTCTCTCCCTCCCTCCCTCCCTCCTCCCTCTTCGTAAGTTCGACTCCGTCCTGTCGTCGCTCTTTGGCATGCGGTTAGCGTTGCGTATCTTGCGGCCGCACTCGCTCACTCTCACTCTCACTGTCTCACTGTCTCACTGTTTTTTTTTTTTTTTGCTCGGTTCTTTCTCTCTGCTGCAGTCGACTCCCGCACCGTCAAGGGAAAAGCGGGTCCCGACAAGGCTCGTTCTCCTTGTATCGGGGAGGCCTAGCTGCTAGAGCTGGGTGCAAAGGCCAGCTTTGTCTGCTTCGCCCTTCCAGGGCATTCTTGTGCCATCCACGGTTGCACTTTGCCTCCTGTCATCTTGGAGACTTTGAAGCACTTCTGACATTCAAGCCACTGACCCCTCTGCATCAGCTGGTGCTGGGGGTGGACTCTCATGCGCAGATTGAGGTCCTGCTCTGTCACTGCGGCATATTGGCAGGGTTCATTTGCCAGCCTGTGGAGAGTCTCCTTACCACATCTGCGAGCAACCTTGATCCAACATCGGCTGCATCCAAAGGAGCTGGCTCGCAGATACCAACGGTGCCCTGGCTGGTGATCCTGTTGCAGGGACGAAGCATTGAGCATGTCCTCCATGATATTTGTCAAAGTCTTGACCTTCTCGCCGGGGCACACCGTGGCTGCCTTGGCCTCAATCTCAGCATGCGTTGAGCAGCTCTTGATGTGAAGGCCGCACAACAGGCACAGCAGTCCTTGGCCCTTCAACTGCCATTGGTGCTCACCAGGGCCATTGTCTTTTTGACTCATCCTGCGGAGCACATCCAAGCGCCCCCGCGGTCTCTCTGGCTGTACCTTGTAGGGTGCAACCACTGGCTCCACATGCCCATTCATGTAGTGCTCCGGATCAGTGAGGAGGGTTCCAACTCGATGCGCTGCTGCCTCATACACCTCCTGGTACCACTTGTCATCTTCCTGGAGCTGAAGTTCAAGCTGTCTCACTGTCTCACTGTCTCACTGTCTCTCTCTCTCTCTCATCTCTCTCATCTCTTTCTCATCTCTCTCATCTCTCTCTCCTCTCTCTCTCTCTCCTCTCTGTCTCTCGTCTTTCCGTCTCTCTTCTCTCTCTTCTCTCGCAGGAGGATCCGGGCAAAGAGCCACATATAAAGGACTCTTCACCCCTGCCTCCAAAAAGAGCGCCGTGTTTTTTCCTACCTCGCTGCCCTCCACTTTCCCATTCTGGAGCGCTAGCTTTCGCCCCCCCCCCCCTTGGCCTCAAGTTTTTAAAGGCCCTTTTAATTTGTAAGGACCCAACCATCATTAGTATAAATATAGATCCTATTCAGTTCACAAGTACATGAACACCAATGGGGCCAGGGACCCTACATTTGGATAACTTTTCATAAAACAAATTCAGATGCTTTGGTGGGTTTTATCCGAATTGCAGACACAATAGCGGCATGGTACATCGCATTATTCTCAATTTTCTCAGTAACATCCCAATTGCTTTCAGGTGGGGCTACTATGTGGTATGCAGATCCCTTTTCAGACCGGAGGTCCGTGATGCTTCCCAAAAGCGCCAAAACAGCACAGCACGCTGAATGGTCCTCGAGGCCCCTTACAGTGGCACGAGCGCCTCCAACTCCGGCGCTCCTCAATTGGTGATCAGTGGTCAGAATGCTCCGAGTGGATACCTGGAGTTCACCACCAAAAGACCAAAAGGAGACTCATCTGTTTTTGTATAAATGTATTGAACTTTGAACCATTGTTTACCTTTGGCCTTTTTCATATTCCTCCCCTATCAAACGCAGAGGCGCAAAATATCGCATTATGCGGAAGCACCTCTGTGTTTTGCTCCAAAGATCGTTTGTCTTTGAGTTATAGCCACCATACCACATCTGCATATCCACTCTCTGCATGCAGGAGCGCTTAGGAATCATACAAGTTCCACCAATTTCCTGTGTAATAAACGCTCCCAAAACTACTCGAGTTGGAGGCTTTGTGACTTCATAGTGCACTGGTGTATATATCTATAATATAAATATATACATATACATAATGATGGAATAAGCGGACTTTGGTTTTGTATTCTGATCATCGGATTATTCTTTCTCAACAACGCAAACGGGGGGCAACTCTAGTTCTATGTCACTGCCTGTTCGAGCAGCATGTAGCAGTTAGACCGTCCATCCAGCAGCATGAGAGACATTTCCTGCCTTCGAGGGTTTTTACTCACCGTCGATCTACTATCTCAAAAAAGAGCACCTATACGTAGAGTTGGTGGACGGTTCTTTATAAGCTAGCCCCCGGTTGGTGCACTCAACATGACTATCAACGCGGACGCTTCCCTCGAAGCCTATAGGGATTTTTGGGGGTCCAGACTGTCTGACGAATGTCTCCATCCAGGATCCGGCGCCCACTGAACGGAGGGTCCGATTGGGTCGCCTCTGGGAACAAGAGAAATCTCTTTTGGATTGAGTGGACCACTGATGACCAGGGCCGATGCGCAGTGGTTGGGAGCGAATTGATGGTCCAGAACCGATTGTTTCGTTGCTGCGAAGGCAGCACACGAGACCATCGCAGGCATTGGAGGACCACACGGCGAGGAGCAAGGAGTCCAATCTGCTCATGTCAGACATACCACCTGCGATCCAAGCGCTATGGAACCAGTGTTTGTGTGGGTACTGCCAGTTCAAGTTGAGACGTGTTTTTGGTTGAACAGCAAGTAGAAGGGGTCAAGCAAACCAGGAAGTCGAAACATCGTAGCGTTTCCTTGCAGGATAGAGTGTGCATGAGGATATTGTCCAAATGTATGGTTTTATTCAATGTTGAAGTAGAAAGTCTGTGACTGGTGCAAAGGTTCTGCATGAATTTCAGAATGAACACTTGAGACATAGATGATGGGCCTTATATGACCTTAATGCGATGGGGGTCCAACTGCAAACGCAATTTCTGAGTGTTGTGGATGTTGTTTGGCTGGGGCCGTCCCGCCCATCCAAGCAAAGTTAAGACGTCCTAAGCAAACCGTAGCTATGCTTTGTTTTGACCATGCTTCCAACTAGGGCTTCCGAAACCCGCCGGCTAGGCTTGACCGGTTTGACTTTGTCCGACAGGCCCTCCCTTCTCCGGACACAAATGGCGCCGTCACCTGTACGGCGCGGCGTCGCGTGACGTGAACTCGTCGTGATACCTTGGTGGATCCGTTTGGAGGAAAAGAAATCAAGTAGCGTTCGGACGCTATGCTCGGTGGAGGCCATTGCGTTCGTAGGTTGGAGGCCATTCCTACGAACGTCACAAGAAGCTACGATCGCCTCGCTCCTAGCTCCTTCACGATGGACTCTGATCACCCGGATCCCTCCCTACCCCTGTTCGTCCACGTCGTTGAAGTGGATGGCGCCTCACGGAAGACGACGTCCTGTTGGTCTCGGGGTCTCGGGGTCTCAGTCCACTTCTATGTGATAGAGTATGTGCCAGCATGGCTGTGGGTCGCACCTGGAACCCCCACACCCTGAAAGCGCCGCTGTGGATTCGTTCGTGGATCGCATCTCTACACCCTGCGGATCTGCCGGTGTCCAGCGCTTCCCCCGTCTTCTCGCCGCCTGGGTGAGAGCGGATTCACTGCTTTCATCATTTGCGGAGGAAAAAGGGCACCTCGTCCTTTCACTGCGTCCAGCCTTTCAGGGTGCCATGGCCTGTTGGGCGGGTCATGACATGGTCTAGGTCTAAGGTCTGGTCACGATGGATGAGACTGACGTGGGTGCCTCATACGATCTCGGAGAAGCCAACATGTGGCCTCAAGAAGCCCGAGATGCTGCCAGTTGGTCTACTTGAAGACAACAGATCCACGAGACACTGGCATGCCAATCCAACGCATTGAAACGAGGTTGAATGATTTGTGCACAACATTCCTCCGTGTGGAGTGTAACAAAGCAAGCCAATCCCTGCAACAAAGGCAACATAGATCAGCCAAGTGGGATCGCCAATTGACATCGTCGCGCTTGCGCCGGTGATTCCAGAAACGATCAATTATATCAACGAGTTTGTGCCAAGACGTGACCTGGACCTTCAATTCGTGACCTGTTTTGGAGTCTCTGTTTATGACCTTTTGTTGGGACCACAAATCCTTCGGTTGTGAACTGAAGGTCCGGTCCGAGTCCAGGTACATCACCTCCGCTTACGGCCCGTGGTGGCTTTTTCAGCAGAATGCACCGTATAGTGAAGTGTTATCACATGTTAGTCACCATTGTTTTTGGCGCGGTCGGCGGCATTTGCTCGCGAGGCGACGCCACGGTCGGCGGCATTCCACCACAGGTGGGGGGCACCGCGGCGGTCGCATCCGCGGGGAAGACGCGGGGAGATGTGAGGAAGAATGGAAGGAACTACAGTTTTTTCTCCATAATTTTCATAGCTTAGTTCATGGGATCACGGTGGATCTACAACATGTTATCAAAAGCCTAAACAGCCGCTCTATAAGTGGAACGACGACTAAACCACTTATGGGAGACTCGCACGACTGCTTTTACTTTCGGTCGTTTGTTTTGTTTTTTTCATTTTCCTGGCCCAGACCGACTCTCGTCTGAACGAAGTAGCGCCCAGAGCGAACTTGGAGCGAACTTGGAGCGGTGCATGCTCTCTCCGTCGAGAACGAACGGTCGCTTCACGTGGTGCAGAGAGTGATATGCCCAATGGTTATAGTATGTTATATTATATAGTTATCATCATTTTGATTATTTGCGTATACATATCATCATACTATCATCATACAGCACGAAGTCGTGACTTGTTGTTTCATGTGGAAAGTTCAAGTTGTTGTTTGTCTTTGTGAGCGATCAGTTGTCAGCGTTCTCTCCTGACGGTTTTGAGAAGTTGTGGAACTGACGATGAGGAGGTTCTTGATCCATCCTGGACTTCATCCATCACCATTCTACCAATGGATCGTGCTGACACACAAGTATGGTCCAATGGTCTACGGTTCACATGAAGGGTGCAAATTGGCGTCAATTCAATCATGAACGTCGATGTCATGTCATACAAAGACACTTCAATGAAATGTTTGGTTTAATTGGTGCTCATATTTACTTTTGAGGCTTGGCAGTGTGTCAAGAGATTCGACAACATCCTTAGACATGTTTGTTTCCATTTCTGTGCTCTGCATTGAGCAAGGAACCTTTAGATCACAAGTTTGCTATAAACGATTTGCACGCACATTTTTCTGCCGGAAGTATGAACTTTGGCTGTGCATGAGCCATCCTGCAGTCGATGAGAATCTCCTGCATCAGTTAGAGTCTGACATCGACTTATAAGGCTACAGCGCATGGCATCACCCGGCTTGCCCGGGGGGTTTTCACAGCCCAGCAGCGTTCGCCGTGCGAGCCGAGCATGCGCCGATCACGCGAAGAACGCCATGCCTCGGGAGGTGCTGAGTGATGAGCGATTGGCACGTTTGCTGTGGGATGCCAAGAGAACTCTGGGGAGATTGGAGGAACGTACTTCAGGTGTTGGTGGTGTCCCAGTAAACCTGTAGCAGTCGGCAAACAAGAACAGCACTATTTTCAGAGAAAGGCCTGCAGCCTAACCATCATCATCCACTGTTGCTGGCAATAGGATAGACCCAAACTATGTGCATCATCATTGCTTGAAGCCTGGGCCCTTCAATTCAGGTGAGAAGAACTCCTTCAAGTGGACAAAACAACTAGGTGCGATCAAGACGACTAGACCTTGGTTGATCTACCGTCACGGTCATATGCTGCTGGGGCTCCAGGTTTTGACCCATCCTCATATAGGTGCGGTCAAGACCGGCCGCTGATCACGGGATGAACGCTGGTCACGTCGAACGTCACCGGTTTGACCCGTTTCCTCGCTGCGAATGACCTCACCCGCCTGCTGCATGAACTCAACAGGGGATAGGTTCGCTCAAGCATGTTCGCCCAAGCAGACCACCATTTGCCGCACACGACTGACACCAGGTAGGTTGTGCCGCCGAGTTTTGTGGTGCCAAGACCCACCTTTTGCACCATACATCCCGATCCAGAGCATCCATAAACCGCAGAGCCGAGGCAAGAGCAAAGCCCCACCACAGTGGCAGAGAGTGCCTTGGGCGGAAGAGAGCCGGTTGGACGGTTTTTTGGCGAGAAGCTATGTTGGTTCATGGTCGATGAAGTCAATCACCTTCTATACTAGCTTGGAGATGATGTTTGATCGTCCTGATGGTGTTGACGTCCGGGCGGGGGGCTGGTTGGAAGTAACAGTCCTTTTCTGGTGCGGATGGAGGCGAGTCACATGCCCAAACACATCGAAGTAGATTCAGTTGACGTGTCTTGACCGACAGGTCGTCGTACTACACGTGTCGGACGTGTCTTCTTCGTCGGCGAGACGGCGAGACGATGTGCGCCGTGTCTTCGTATCGTTTTGGCCTATATGCCGCCCCAGGTCAACCCCCAGGTCAACCAGCCCTGGCCGTTTCTCGGCAGTCCGGACTGGCAGTCCCATGTGTTCAATTGATTAAAACGGTGGTCGATGTGCCACCGCATTTGTACAACCCAGACGCTCCAAACAGCCCTTGGTCCCTCAAAACCATAGGGTTTTGAGGGTCCAGACCCCTCCATATGAGGGTCCGACCCCTGCATATGAGGGTCCAGGAGCGTCTGGGAAGAACATGAGTGGCGGCGATGCCTCTCCCTCTCCTCACTGCCGTAGCACACGTGAGTTGGCCTGAGGCCCGGTGGAGGCATCGCACCAAGCGACGGCCATCCATGCCTATGTGCATGAGGACGAAGAGTTGGCACGGCTCCTACAAGCGTGCCTTGGATGAAAGAAACATGGGTCGAATTGATCCTGAACGGTCAGGAGGCTGCACTGGGGTCGATTGGGGTCAGGAGGCTCCCCAAATATCGGAAGAACGTGCCTTGGGTCCGATATCTAAACAAAACAAATCAGGCCGATTTTGGGCGGCGCTGACTTCCTATGCGCGAGCACTCGCGGTCGTCGCAGTGGATGACTGGTGATTGAATGGGATGAACATTTGGCGTTGGTAGATGTTTCAGCACGACTTGGTTTCTGCTGATATAAGGTCTTCATCATGTAAACATTTTCCATGCTGACCTGCGATTAACTAGCGCTTCAAAGACCCATGGTTGAGCATTCTTCAATATTTTTCAAGCCAAGATCCTTGGAAATGTTGTCTCAGCAAATTAGTGGAATGCCATTTAAAACATCGAGTATATCGAGTGCTGAGGGATAGTTGGTGCCACGTTTTTCCAGGCTGGCAGTGAGCGGCTAGAAACCAAAGACATCCAAAGACTTATTTGTGGTTATTTGTGGATCAATTTATGGTTCAATGGTTCAGTTGGCCCAGCATTTCCACAAATTTATACACCTTCAGAACATCCGATATTTTAAAAATCTTTTCATTTTTGGAGGTTTCCGAGTACCAACATCGCATTGCTAGTAGAATCCCCGCAAATCATCCAGCACACTGGTGGAAACGCCACTAGAGTTGATCAAGGACGATATTCTCTTTTGAAACTTTATGAGTGAAGGCAGGCAGTTATATGTCAAAAATCTGCAGATTTGCAGCAGATAAGCAGAATAGTGATGAATCTATGCCAAGGGTGCAACGTATGATGAAACCAGGGGACATGGTGACAAATGATTGGATTTGATGACTGATTGACAGAGATATGGTAAGTCCTTATATTAAGATGGAAAGAACAACACATGATATTCCAGCCGACTTTCGATACACTCATACACCCGAACCGCTGGAACACGCCGAGGGAGGAGGATGACACCCGCACGGCGAGCCATAGCACCGCGCCGCCGCGCAGGCGCGGGCCACGTCGGATCGTTATGGGTTAGGTGGGGAAAACAGAGGCGCGACGTTTCTTTTTTCTCTAGACAGAGCAAGTTTGGGCATGTCTGGGGAATCTTGGGATATTCGAATATTCTAACATGTTTTACGGTTAATGTTTTGGGAGCTGTCCTGATTTTTGTTGTGGGTTTTGGTTCGAATAGGGGGCCATTTTGTTGAGGATAAACTCAGGCCTTGGATGTTTATCCTTTGCAGTGTTGATCAACAAGACTGATGGCTATTTGGCGCTTTGATTGCAGAGGTTGAGCCACATGCGGATTTCGAACGGTTCAGCCAAAGTTCATCACCCGTTGGCCATGTCCCGTTTCCGCTCGACAGGTCACCGTGTAACCGCGCCAGGCCAAGCTAGAAAGGTCGCTGGCTCGAGCGCCGAAGGACGCGACAGCAGACAGTAGATCGAGCGCCTGACGATGAATGAGAGTGGACTCGGTGGGCGCTCCATAGGGAGGGCGCTGGATGAGTCCTTGTGCAGTTGCTGGAAGGCTTATTGCCCTGTCGATTCTGAGCAGAGCTCCATGCGCCATCATGCGCCATGCACCCTCTTGCACAGTGCATGTCAAAAATAACGTATGGTAGACAGTCACCAAGCAAGCGAAACTGCGGAAGATCCAAGCGAATGAGCCACTGTTTTGAGCTGGCGAGCTGGGCAGGTGTTCGGTAGCCACAAGTTCATGCTGTGATTTCCAGTCTCTGCAGACTCTTGTGCGTGGCATCCTTTGGACCAGTCCTTGGTTGTGGGACTCAGGTCAGAATCAACCACTCAGGTCATCTCAGGTCTTGGCTGTCTTTGGGATTGGAGGAACCAGGAGGAACCAGGAGGAACCAGAGCTCGGGGTGGTGTGGCTCGTCCCAGCCAGGGGCTGTGGATTTGAATCATGGGTACCCCGACTACCTGATCTAACCTGCAAGTTCGGCACCCAGAGCGAGCAACCGGTGACTCCTGGAACTGGACATTCCAACAGAGGTTCAGCGACGGTCAGAGTACCTATGGGATAGCCTATAGGCTTCTTCAACCTCTGTTGGTTTGGCGCTTCAGCTCTCTCCAGAAATCCCCACGAGACCCCCACAAGACCCCCCTGTCTTCAGGCGCCATGGACACGATCCTCGAGGCGCAGCGAAGCACCTGGACGTCGGTGGAAACGGGTCCTTGGGTCGTTGGTGTCCTGAGTTCAGTGGAGCATTTTCTGGTGGCACTGAAATCATCAGGGTGATGTGGACAACTCTGCTGGAGGATCATGGTCCGATTTCCGTACAGACAGGTGGTGAACTCCACTTCCATGTTAGTTCCAGTCGATGCTTCTAATATGGTTGTTCCAGCACGGTTAGGTCCCCAAGTTCATGGAACCATATCGAACCGATGTCGAAGAGTCGAAGACACATGAAAAAACTCGATCCTATTCGACTTCATTTGGGTTAGATGGATCCGTTTTCCGAGATTGGTCACTACTCAGAAATTCAAGGAAATCCAATGAATGATTCATAGAAATGCAATTCTTTCCATAGTCATCTCTATGAACAACTTCCGAATGGTCACTGCACGACCGTTCAACCCGCACGGACCGTGGGCCGATAAGAGCCCGATGGGATCGGCTGGGGCGGAAGGAGTTTATGAACCATGGGCCTTAGATATGACCACAGAACCAAGGGATATAAATCAATATCATATTCATACTGCACCTGTACCTCATGTTGTGGTAATTTTTTGCTGGTTACACCTCATTGTCCATGTGTCACTCCAAAATTGGTGCCTACCACTGCACCAATTGGCCTAGGGCCTAGGGCCAACAGATTCGGGGGACACTTCATGTAGGTACCAATACCGGCCTGGCCGCCACGCATTCCCACCGATCAGACTGGGTCTGTACCGGTCCTCCATTTCTCAATTCACGTCTTTTGGAACCTCATGTGTCCTTCTTCACGTCTGAATGTCCTGTTTCAACTTCACATGTTTCAACCAGTCCTCGCCGAGTCCTCGCCCCATGGATTCAATGGATTTGGCACTTGGAAGTCGGAGCTGCTCGCCTCATGGTTTTCGATGTCTCATTCAGCACGTTCTTTTCAGCGAAGACGCGGTGAGGCGGCACCAGTGCCTGGTCCCCGCACTCAGTCCGACCCGGTCCGGGACATCGACTCCGAGGGCGACCACCTGCTGTTTTCATCATGAGTACATGGTGCAAAGGTGAATTCAGATGAAAACAGTTTAAATTTGTTCTTTTCTAATGCAACCTATGATGCAGAGTCAGCCTTTGTTTTCTAGCTGACTTTGCTTTGGCATGATTTTGATGGATTTAAAGCCCTGGTGGGTGTGTTTCCTAAATGGAGTGGAATCCAAATATCGGGAGAGTCTATAGAGGCAGGAACTCAGGACCGTAAATGCTGGCAGATGATTCTTTAAAGATTCTTGCAGAGGGCAGTGTGGATGGACAACCAAAAACATCGGAAATCCGATTGTACGCTTTCCAGAACCTGCAACTCGATGCACATTTTGAAAACTTCTCACTCTTCTCTCCCAGTCTGACTCCAGTCTTCATTCAAACCTGGTCTTTTACCTGTTTCGTCGTGTTTTCCTGAGCGACTTCGTCTTCATTTGAGGTCCAACTGAGTGATGTTTCGACGCTTTCCGATAAACTCGGTTTTCGAGACGCACTGGTGCGGGCGGGGCAGAAACGGAGGGTTTGCCTCTCTTTTTGGTCTGTGTGACAAGTGTATTATGTTGTTGCATGGAGCCTCCCAGCCATTTGACTGGATCAAAGGTCGAAGCGTGAGCCTCTTCAAAGAAGAGACCATGATCGAAACTGGAAGACGGGTCCTTGTAGAGGAGAATTACCAAACACTTTGGGCAGTGTCACAAACACTTTACTAAACTTCGGGTTTATCTAGTGAACACACATTTATGCTGGAACCACGGAAAGAAGATGAACTTTGGCTGGTTGAAATCAGGAAAAGTCCGTGGTGTTGTGAAGAGAGTCCTGGAAGTAGGTGCCACCTTGACCTGGTTCTGGCGGTTGAGTGACCTCGAAGCTCCAGAGGGTCCTCATCGGCTCTGAACAGATTATGATCTGAACAGAAGCAGACGAGAGTATGATTGAGGACTTTTGAGCATGGTGCGGTTTTCCACTTCTCAACAGCGTCAGTTGAATGGCCATTCGCATGTACTGCTCGTGGCCAACTCAACAGTTCTCCATGTCAATGAATACGCGTATGACGACGTTCATTGCTTGGCGCTTTGGCTGCTCTCTCAACGAAAAGAATAATCCTTTCTTGCTCCTCTCAATTGAGAACTGAGATGACCTAACGAAAAAGGAGAATCGCTAACCATCATCCCCAGCAGTGGTTTTCAGAACCTTAGTTCGACTATCCTATAGGTACCTAACTCAGAAGAATCCCTAACCATCATCCTGTTCGAACGGTCATCTCAGTCATCTCTGTCATCAGGCCGCTCCTCCTGAGCGTCCTCAGCAGCGGCGCCTGCTTCGGCGGCTGCGCCGGGTGCGGAGCTCGGGAGGTCTCGGTAGCGGCGGATTCCACCGAGTGGCCGGATCCAGCCGTGGCCGTCACGGAGTTGGTCGAACTTGGAGAGGTTTGGGGATGGAAGATCCACTCACAGAGGTTGGGGACTCAATAACCACTCCTTTGGAACTGCTGGGTATCTTTATTGGCACGTTTATTTGTGTCAAAGTGGACTTGAAAGGCTGAGGACGTCATATATATATATATATATGTATCTGAAGGGATGGGGAAGATGTTCCCAGCTCCGTCTTTGATGCTTGGACTCGGTGCCGGGTCGAACATGGTCGGACCGGTGACCCTGTCGTTTGAATGTGGCAACCTACTAGTTCTTAAAGCTACTACTGTAGTAGCAATGCCCTTGTTACTAGTAGCTTCTTCCTAGCCTGAGCTCCTGTCGATTCTCTGAGTGGGACATCAGAAACCACATGAGCTCAACCAGCCATGATAGATCTGCAAGGGTGAACACCACAAGGGTGAACACCACGTACATGCCTCAAGGGCTTCCCTCCAGCTTTTGCTCTTAGACACCCAGTGGTGCTTTGCCATGGTTTGCCTTACAGACTTGTTCGACAGTTGAGCAACGTGGGACAAATCCAACATTTGCTCCTATTTGACGTCAATAGATTTGAGCGAGGCTCTATTGATGTTACAGGATTTCGATTAGTCCCTCTGTACGGGCAGTCTTCATGGTGAATCTTGTATGCCGGGCTTGAACGTGAATCAACGCCAGAATCGATCTGATCTTCTTAATGGGCTTCACCAAAATATCAACATGCTTGCCGTTATTTGACCGATCTTGGCTGTGGGAGATGTGCAAGTCCCATCATGCACTGTCTTTTTCTTTGTAGATTCCAAGGTTGTGCCCGCTTTTGCACCCAGAGCCCAGAGTAGCTATTCTAGATAAGCTTCCCCAAAGCTCTCATGATGCTGACGGGTTTGTGGCATTGGGGGTACCGCTACACGGCTCAAGCTATGTGACGCCATAGCTGGAGATGGAGATCCAAGGATGAAAGTGCGAAAGATATGAAGGACTAAGGACAAGCCATGCGAAAGAGAAGTGGATGGTAGAGAGGTGAGCGGTATGAAGCGGAACATAAAAGTTTCAACCAGTGAGTTCTTGTTGTCATGGACATGTGACATGTCATGAAAGTGGTCAAGACGAGCCAAAGGTTCACGTCGCAGGCTTGATGAACACAAGATATCATGAGTGATTTGAGCTATCCAAGCGATTTGCCCTCTTGAAAGAGCTCCAAAACACAAGTCGTAAACACGAAAACTGACCGTCCACCAGGACCCTTTTGATGAACACTTCCGGAGGAGCGACCTCGTAGTTGCTGACGAATTGCAACCCAGACACTCTATCTAATGTATGTTCACCTACTTTGGGGATCTTTGGGGTGACTTCGGGAAATTCATTTCAAATTCCACACATGGAGAGTCAATGCTTCTTCAACAGGACACATGTCGTGCAAAGGGAAATACGGCACCTTTGGTCGGTCTGACCCTTTATTAAACATTTACCAGCTGTGTGACATAGCATTGCTGCCATGGCCGAAGTGTTGTCCCTGCAGTTGGAAGATGATCAGTCCCTTGTCAGCAGAGCTGGTTGGGACGCGTATACCGCATACCGCTTATCCCATCATTTTTATCTGCCACTTCTGTGGAGGTTAGGTAACGGCGTTGACCACAAAAGTTTCTGCAACCTGCTTGGTTGTTGACCACGCATGGCATGCGCCACCAATTATGGCTTTGTCCCTACGACAGATTGTGTGACCGTTCCGATTTTGTTTGTGGTTTCGGGTGCTGGAAGCGCTGAAGAAGACTTGACTCGTGAAGACAGACCCCACAGCACCTCAGTCGCTAGGGACAGACCCCACCCACCCCCCCGAAGCGCCGAAGAGGATGTGGGAGCCCTGGGAGCCGTTGGTGCATACCACCATCTTCGGTGCCAGGCGAATGGGGCCCCACGATGGCCCCCTTCCGAACCAAAGAAGAATGTCTCGGACTGCTGAAGGTCCGAGCATGTTGGAACAGGAAGAGTCGTACTGATGAGCTTGTACAAGCACAAGTTGCTGACCGAAACACACGTCGCTGACTGTTACGGTTTTCCATGGTGGAAGGGTCTCGTCCTGAGTCGCCCAGACACTCAGTTCAAAGGTCGACTGCTCCCTCACAATCCTAGGGATTTTTTGTTGTCCAGACCCCTCACTTTGGATTCAGGTTTGGCGCCGTGTTCTGCGAGTCTCTGAAACTGCTTGGAGCGTCATCCCACACCACGCGGTCCAATAGAGTAGGAACATCTCCAGGCCCCGTTTGTTGGCACATGTTTCGACTGGTGTAGGGTGATGGTGACGGAAGAACGCTTCGCCAAGAAGCCAAGAAAGCTTCGGCATAGGCGGACAGTTCACAGTCACCGCGAGGTGGTGCTCAGGAGGTATCCAAGGAGCTGGGGGTATCCAGTTCTTCCCCAGCTCAACCGTCGCGCCCACCAAGCCGGGAGTTCCCCAACCCCGACAGCCACAAAATGCAAGAGGTTGGTGAAAGCATGTGAAAGCAAGGGTTTGTTCGTAAAGACCCCCCTCGTAAAGCTTTCTCCAGATTCTTTTCAAAGGGCTAAGGAAGCTGAAGCCAGTGTGTCGCCACCGTGAAGCTGCAAAGCTACTCTACTTCATGGTGCCACATGGGCTCCATGTATCTACAATCACCTAACAATCACGTCGTGCTCTCCTCACACACCCTCGCACGGCACAAAGAATCTCAGGTCTTCACCTCGAAAGCGAAGCTACTATCCTCGCCCCAGCGGACGGACCACCTACTCACCACGGCCTTCGTCGCCTTGTCGCAGCTCTTGACTGCAGCTCTCGGTCGGGCGAGCCTTCGTTTGCTCCGAGGTCGGGCGCGGAGGAGGCCATGATGCAGGACTTCGTGCGACTGCACATGATGAGCACCTCGGCACTGCGGGTTATGCGGGTGGCGGGAGACGGTGCGAAGCGGCAGACTGCTGGTGCCGTGTGCACGGGTTCAGACAGCAAAGAGGGGCACGGTTTTGGGGAGGCCATGAGGTGGCGGATGGAAGAGAAGCATCTGATGGGAGCTGATCAAAGAGAGTAAAGAACCATTAAAGAGTAAATGTCTATGAGGAAGGCTCAAATCATCTCAAATCTGAGGTGGAAGAGACGTGAATCGAGACCTTCCTTCAACACGCATTCATTCATACTAGTGACAAGGCCAACATACCGCAGCACTTTGGTGTGTAGGATTCTGGAAGCACCAAACCCTCTAAAATTGGTATGATGTGGCAACTTGGGCACTTCCAATTTCAACAGAACTCCCTTGTTTTCCCTGTTGCACGAGGGAGCATGGGCATGGGTGGAGGAGATTGGAGCGAACCTGCCAGATCTGGAGAGACGAGACGAACAATGGGGCAAGGGTGGACTTCGTGGTGGATGTGACAATCCAGCAGTGGACACAGGTGGTGGCGAGCGGGCTTGGGTTGAGTAGGATAGGAGCTCCTGAGTCATGGATGCCTGATGACGGGAACACGGCCGTGGGGCACATGAACCTACCTGACGCCGTGGTTGCCAACGTGTCAGTGGCGAGTGGGAATCAGGGATGATCCCCATGAGCTACCCCAAGTGGGAAGCCCACACGCCTCTGAGATTCCCACCAATGCATCCATCGATTCTCTGCAACCTCACGATTGGATGGCTGTGTGGAGAGAGTCCGCCCAGCTCGATGAACCCGTCCCCAGAGCTGGAGTGTGACCGCACTGGCATTGCAAGATCAATCTTGATCAGTGACGCGGACAGGACGTTCGCGCTCATGCTGCTGGATGCAGGCCACGCGTGGATCGGGGGGCTCGCTCCGGATTTCTGGGGAGTGCAAGACATCCAGATCCATCTGGCCGTGGAGACGAAGGCCAATGCACTCCTCAAGAGCTGATGCAGACCCGCTTGCCGGAGGAGGATGTTGGTGGGTGGAGGCAGTGCGACGTGCGACTGTACTTCCCAGTCATCCCCGTCGAACGGCTACCAGCATGGTTCTGGCAAGTCATCGCTCAGTCGGTGACATCCACGAGCCTGAACTACCTGCGGGTGCAGGAGAAGGTGGTGTCACCCGTGCCTGTGGAGGAGAGGCCGACGTTCCAGTACTGGGACTGGTGGTTTGCTGGTGAGGCGGGCAACGACCATGGGGTCAATGACAGCTGGCCGAACCCTTGGCAGGCTCAGGATGCGCAAGCAGTCCAAGAGGCAAGCACCTTTGACCCAACAACCCGACCAAGCTGGATCCCGCTCCCAACAGTGATGAGAGGGGGTGAAGGTGTCACAATGCCGCGGGACGTCCCAGTCTACACAACTGTTGGCCCTCCTGACAGAGATGGGGGAGCCTTGTCCAGTGCTCAAGTTGGCATGACGTTCCTGCACCAGTACATGCCCTGGCTGCGGTTGCAAGCCGTGGCGTCCTCCTGTTGCAGCTTGTCAGGTTATAAGCCCCTTTCTCTCAAGCAGGTTGACTAGCTGGCCTTCCATTTCACCTCCCATGACGCTTTCGACGTGGCTTTTCCGTCCTTGAGAGAACGTCAGAAGGGTTCCAACTCCCAGAGTAGACTTTCGATGACCTTTTGCTAGTGTCTGCAAAAGAACAATGAACAGTGGGGTTCAATGGACCTTCAGACTTCAGTCAGTAGTACAACCTGACATCAATCTACCATATTATTGGATCAACAAGTTGTTCATTGTTGTGGCACCTCAGCTCAGCACCAGGAAAGACTAGTTTCCCACCTGGAGGTGAGGGTCTCTAGACTCTAGATTTTATGTCAGTGGGCACTACTCCTTTGTCCTGCTCTTCCTTTCATTTCCCTTCCCTTCCCTTCCCTTTCCTTCCCTTTCCTTTCCTTTCCCTTCCCCTCTTTTCCTTTCCTTTTCCTTCCCTTCTTTTCCCTTCCTTTCCCTTCCTCTCCTTTCCCATCCTCTCCTTTC